GAGAGAGAGAAATGAGTCAAAGAACACCTCTCTGCGTTCTTGAAAAAGAACAGAGTACTATCTCAAAGATTTTATCTTTTTGCAGTTTGACCCATAACTTGTGTAATAAAGTACAGTCAAAAAGAAAACAGAAGCTGAATTCTAATTCGTCTTCGACTTCTGAAACTTGCTATCGATCCGTACATACTCATCAGAGACTATTTCCATGTCTTTTATCTGATGGAGAAATTGGGCTTTTCCCGAACTTGGATAGATCGGATTATGTTCTGTATTTCCTTTGTATCCTATAAAGTTCTCCTTAATGGCACTCCTCGTGGTTTAATTAAACCAACGAGAGGAATAAGACAGGGGATCCGATTTCCCCTTTTATTTTCATCTTATGCACGGAGGCTTTAATTTCCCAATTAAAATCGGCGGAATGGAATGGTCACATTCAGGGCCTCCAAGTTTCAAAAGCAAGTCCGTCGACCTCTCATCTCCTCTTTGCAGATGATAGCTTGTTCTTCTGCAAAGCGAATGAAGATCAGGGGAAGGCTGTCATTGACATAATTCGGTCATATGGCGGGGCCTCTGGACAACTGTTAAATTTTCGGAAATCCTCGGTGATGTTTGGCAAGGACGTTGATGTTCAAACCCGAAGTACCATCAAGCGAACCCTTGGGATAACTAATGAAGGAGGAATGGGGACTTATTTGGGACTCCCTGAAAAGATCCACGGCTCTAAAACCCAAGTTTTCGCGTTTGTCCGAGACCGCCTCCATAGTCGGCTCAATACTTGGTCAACCAAATTCCTTTCCAAGGGTGGGAAAGAGATTCTTATAAAATATGTAGCTCAGGCTCTACCGACATATGTCATGTCATGTTTCCTTTTACCTAAAGCCATCCGGTCAAAGCTGAGCAGTGCTATTGCGGATTTTTGGTGGAAGACAAAAGCCGATAGTAAAGGAATCCATTGGATTGTCTGGGATAAACTATGCACCCAACTATCAGAAAGAGACTTAGGTTTTAGAACTTTGGAAGAATTTAATGTTGCACTTCTAGCAAAACAGTTATGGCGCATAATCAAATTCCCAAATTCTCTTCTCAGCCGTGTGCTCCGGGGACGATACTATCGCTATAGTGATCCACTCGAGATATCAAAATCTAATATCCGCCGATTTTTTTTGTCGCTGCTTTTTTCTGTTTTTTGTTTTTGTTTTTTTTTTTTTTTTTTCAGTTTTTCATATTTTTTTTACCTTCCTCATTTTCTTTATTTTCTTTATTCAGACCTTTTAAGTTTTTAAAGTGAAGCTACATTATTTTGATCTTTTTCCCTTACAATGTGGTAACTGGTAAGGCATGATTTTGGTTATGTCTAGAAGTAGTTAAAGAGTATCTTATAAACCAGATTAATTCGTAAATTCCATAATACTAGAACTCGTTAGATTAAGTTTCTTTAGGCACAATTTCATAATGTGCTTTTTTGGGATGATGGGATACAAAGGAATCTAACATACAAGGATATTCCTATTTAAAAAGAAACAGAGGAGCTCCATTAACGATTGATAACTTCAGGCATCTCATTCTCATCATCATCCCTCAAGTTGATCTTCTGCATTGATTTTGGAATACAATTTGTTTGCCAGTTTAGGAGACGAGACAGAGTCAAGCTTTGAACTTGCCTTAGTTTTTGAATTCGACGACTCTTGTATTTGAGACCTCGCGGGTTGAGACTTTCCTGACTTCTTACTGGCAGATGAAGATGATCCATGTCTTGCCTGTTTAAACCAAGAGAGAAAGAAAGAGAGACATCAATTACTTACTTACTCAAGGAACAAACAATTGCAAAATTGGTCTTTTTATTTTTTCGTGAATTTTGGGGACTTACTCCATCAAAGAAGCCGATTTTTGGTGATGGCACGCGGAGACCTGATGGTTTTGTGGAAGCTGAAGGAACCAAACCACCGTTGATAGCTGAAACTCGTTTCGTGCCTTCCTTAGCATCAGCTTGAACAACAGATGCATCTTTGGAGTTCTTGAGAGGTTTCACAGTTTGTACTGTATTAGCATTTGCAGGACCCTTTTCACGAGAGACCGTTTTCTGGTTACCATTCGCCATTTTACTAGTTTCAGAAGCTCGTGATGACTCTGATGAACACTCACTGATAGAACCAGCAGTTGGTACACTAGAGGAAAGCTTGGACTTGAATGTCTTATTGGTTGGTTGGGGTGGGATTCTTGGCTGGCCCATAATACCTCTAGATGTAGATCGATTTGCCAATGGCTGGGAAGCTAATCTGGAACTTGAATCACTCTTCTTCTTTATCGAGTCTATAGACGGTTTTTGAGAAGCGCTAGATGAAGCACTGGCACAGCTCTCTAGTGAAGAGCATGAAGAGGTCATTTCATTTTTTGAGGCAACTGAAGAACGTAAAGAAGATTTCAAAGGCAAACCAGGTTTTGGCAAGACAGGTTTAGTGCGTCGCGAAATGGATATTCTGGGACACAGTGGCTCTTTACCTGTATTATCCAAGGTCATTAAATGTGAAAAAGGCAAGTGTAAACCTTTTAAAGAACAAGTTCTGACTAACCCGCAGGGAATTTGGAATTATTTTCTTGTTTGGTTTTGCTTATATCTAATGACGCCCTGTTCGTTGATGTTGTTGACAAGGGCCTGACTTTGCTGAGTCCGTTGGGTGGCTTAGAAATGGATGTACTGAGACCTCTTGAGGCAACAGGCTGCAGAAAATGTAACATTTATTACAATATCCAATATATTCATTTTGTGGTTCACTACAGAGTAAGCTATAACAAATATTGATGACATGTTTCTGATTAATAGATTGCATTCAACAGAGCCATATCAAGTTTATTAGTCCAGCTCATTACCACTGGAAACCTAGGAGAAACCAATTGTTCTCGAGCCATGAAATGAAATTTAAGAGTACGAAATAAATCCATTAGTTAATATGCATTTGAGAAACCGAATAAAGATGATATACCTGTTTTGTTGCCTTCCCTAGTCCTTGTGCTCTAATACTTCGACATTTAGGACTGGCTTTGGGTTTAGTCTGAGAAATAAATAAAAGGGAAAGTTAGCTGAGGAGGGAATAAAACGAGAAATCCACAGGGTGCAGTTGTTAGCAGATTTACCTTTTCTTGAGAGGCAATGATGTCCACTGTACTTGAAGCTGGAATTTCAGAGAAATAATGCATAAGATGCTCAACTTCGCAAACAAATCACAAGAATTAACTATTGCAGCAAAGGAGTCTGGTCTAGTGTAAACAGATTAAAACAGTTCTTCTAATGCCACAAAATTAAAACACAGTAGCAGGACACTCTTAACGAAATATAATGGAATACTTGGCATCTAAGATTAGCTCACATTAGATACTAGTTCTTTGTGAAGCCATAAAGAGAAAAACGGACAGGAACAGCTTCATTACTTTAAAAGATCCAAATGGTGAAGTCAAGCATAAACACAAAACTAATAAGGCAGATCCTTTTCCTTATTAGAGAGCCATTACCTGAGGAAAGCTCGAGCTAGACCATAGAAACAGATTACATTCATAGATAACTGGGTGGTAAAGGCATATAACTGCTTAAACAGGCAAATCTAGTTCCACTCCCTCTACGCAATTGAAAGAATAAAGAAGACTCACTTGGGGTCATTGCTACTTCTGTTGCTCTCAATTCATTATTTTTCCCGGGTGTTGCAGCATCAGATGTTTTAGCAGACCTTTGAATAGACGCTCTTACATCCTCAAACAAAACAAACTCCTGACTGTTCTCCACAGTGCAGTCACTTTGAAAGGTAGAAATGGATTCCGTAGATCTATCAATATCCTCTAGAATGGTCGGTAAAGCTTTCTTCCCACTCTTATGATTGTTTTCGATCATGCTTGACAGTTCTTCAGGTTCCAAAACACCTGATTTCTTAACAATATATCTCAGCAAAAGTAAATAAATACATACAAACTACAACAAATCTAGGTGAACTTACCAGCGCTAGTGAAGAACTCATTGTCCCAAGCAAGACTTTTGCGCAAATTATACTTTCCTTTCCTCATCACCTTCTCAGGCTCAGGCGACTCGTGAGGTTGAAGCACCTCTTCCTTCTCTTCAATTGAAGAAACCAGTATCTCATCATCACAATACTGTGTATCCCTCATGAAATTTAGATCTTTGTCATCCTTCAAACAATTCTCATCTTTATCTGCCTCTGAAATGTAAAACCCAAAATCCACAACTTTAAATTAAAATCCAATGCCAGCTCGCTACAGTAGTAACAATGGATCTAATTTCTAAGAAATCAATAAACCCTACATTGAAACTTGTCCAAGTAATCAAGCAAAATCAAAATCCTCTAGTAATCAAGCAGATTAACAAAAACCCAGAACCCATAAATCCAAAATCAAAGGAGAGATATTGAAGTTCACCGGAAAACTCGTAGCTGGTTGGGTCGGGAAAGGAGGAGAAGAGAAGGCTATCGTCTTCAGAAGCGACATCAATCAAACCAAGGCCATCGGCTTCAACCTCGCTTTTCTTGGTCTCGTTATCTTCCATTGAACAGAGATCGAAATGCTGAGTTTGCTCAAAAGATCCCAGAGATTTGAGGAAGAAGATGAAATTTGAATTGAAGATAGATTCGATTTGTTGTTGTTCCCACTCTTTGAGAAATCGAGGGTTTTTGAGTTAGTGAGCGCGGTTGTGTTCACTTCTTATTCGTGTAATGGCTTTGATCCATTCTCGACCGTTGGATTTGTTCCATTTTATTTCATATTTTTCCCTTTAAAAAAAAATATGATCTCATATGGGCCTTAATGCATAAAACCTAATGCCCAGATATATTAGCCCATCGAAAATACGATGAACTAAGTAAAAGAGAATTTTAAGATTTTGTAATTAATTGTATATACTTAATATACTATAAAAAAAAAAACACTTAATCAGCAAAGATATTGTAGAAAGGTACAATAGATTAATTGGAAAACCGTTTTGAATTTATCCGTATATAAAGAAAAATAAAATAAATTAAACAAAATCCTAAATAGACTAGGATTATGATTTGAGATGGTAAATCTATATAAGTAGAGGGAGATACGGGACTTCTTTTTCACAAACACATTCATAAACACTACTTCAAATACTCGCTCTGATCTAACGATTTTATAGATTTCTTCATCTTTCTTCTTCTTCTTGTACGATCAAATCATGATCACAAAGAAGATCTTTGGCTTTGTGCTCGCGATCACGATTCTCTTGGGTTGCTGCTCGGCTAAAATATACAAAGTTGGAGGTTCTAATGGATGGACTGCGAAGAAGAACTCTTGGGCTACGCATAAAGAATTCTATGTCGGAGATTCTTTGGTTTTTGAATACGATCAAAACGTTAACGACGTCACTCAAGTCTCTGATGCTTCAAAGTACGAGTCATGCGACTCTTCTTCTCCTAAAGCGGTTTACAACACCGGACACGATGTCATAACCTTCAAGGAACCAGGATATCACTACTTCATTAGCTCAAATCATATTCAATGCGTCTATGGACTGAAAATCGACGTTCTTGTCGTCCATGACAAGTCACGTCCTATTCCTCCACCAACACCACCGAGCGATATCCTTCCTTTTGGTAAGATCTACAAAGTTGGAGGTTCTGGTGGATGGAGTGGGAAGAAGAACTCTTGGGCTGAGCATAAGGAATTCCATGTCGGAGATTCTTTGGTCTTCGAATACGATCAAAATGTTAACGACGTCACTCAAGTCTTTGATGCTTTAAAGTACGAGTCATGCGACTCTTCTTCTCCCAAAGCCGTTTATAACACAGGATATGATGTCGTAACCCTCAAGGAACCAGGATATCACTACTTCATCAGCTCAAATCATATTCAATGCGTCTATGGACTGAAACTCGACGTTCTTGTCGTCCATGACAAGTCACGTCCGATTCCACCACCACCACCACCAAGCAAGATCCATGAACCCTCACATCCGATTCCTTCTCCACCACCACCGAGCAAGATCCATGAACCCTCACGTCCGATTACTCCACCACCACCACCAAGCAAGATCCATGAACCCTCACGTCCGATTCCTCCACCACTATCACCACCGAGCAAAGTCCTTCCTTTGGGTAAGATCTACAAGGTTGGTGACTCCAGAGGATGGAGCGTTTATAACAGTTACTACTATTACAGGTGGAGTGAGGGAAAACAGTTTCATGTTGGAGATACTCTCTATTTCGAATATAACAAGTACCTCAACGACGTTAGGGAAATCAGCGATGATCTTGAGTTCAAATCCTGCGAACAAAATTCTACAGTAGCTGTGTACAAAACGGGACACGATCTCATTAAGCTTACCAAACCAGGAGTGCATTATTTTGTAAGCTTAAAAACCGGTCTTTGTCAGGCTGGGATTAAACTTCGAGTCACGGTGCAACCATTAACCGAAGCTGTTACTTTATTCCCGAATGTTCCCAAGAAGAAGTTGTCACCTATCGTCAACAGGTGGTGGTTACACCCTTTCAGACCTCATCACTAAGCACTTGAGTTTAGTTGAAGAGTTTTTTGGTTTTTCAAAGAGTTGTTTTGTGTTTTTTTTTTTTTTTAACATTGTTTCGTTTAGATTTTGTTATTCAGTTTTTATGAAATTTTGAAAGTTTCTATTTAGTTGGATGCCCAAAAACATTAACATGTTCCTCCATATGACATGACACGTGTTGGAATATAATCTGACCAGCAACGGAAAGCCTTTTCAATGGATAAACCGAGTGTTATCGTGAATATTATTACCACACCACAACGGTTCAATATCAAGTTTAGGAACTTTTTGTTTCTTTTTATCAATCGATGATGCCAAACCAAACTCAGAATTTAGGACCAAAAAATCAAAGAGAGACTAAATTATTAATCATGATGTTGTTTTACGAAAGTAACGGCTCACTTGCATGAAGGAATCAACAGGGCAATCAAGTGATGATAAATAGCTTCTTCTTAAGACCAAAACCTAAGAAACATAACAATCAAATGAAAAAAAAAACGTGTTTTTCAATTCTTGTCTTAAGCAAACCAAACTCTTCTCCCTACAACACAATCATATACAAATCTTCTCTCTCCCAAAACTGAGATACCACAATCCATATCTATGAACAGTGGATCACTCAGATTCTCAGACACAACTGGAATAGTCGAGTCTCGGAAGATTGTGATGAATAGTGCCCTAGTACTACTCTGTGCCCGGCATTTGAACCATCATATTCGAAGCCTACAGTCACAAACGAGTTTAATCAATTATCTGCACACTGATAGATTACAAATACCATTAACACTTCAAGATGCTTGATGCTATTGTCAAAGCTCAGAGAGAGGAACATATGAGGGCCTATGTCTAGACTTCAAAAAGAGGACATGCATATATGATGTTTTATCGAGTCTATTCAAGTCCTTAAATCCTTTAATTGTATAACATTCTCTCCTTTTTACTCCGGCTCTGCTCTATGTAGAGAATGAATTCAAATATAAGTATTAACATTTCTTTTATCGGAAACACTTACTTGAGGGTTTCCATAAGGACCCTGTGAGAATGAGCCCTGTTGAGGAACCTGCGAGAACTGTTCAGAAAGTAAAGACAGGGAAACAATAAATTAGCTCGCACATTTTCATAAGCGGAAAAAGATAATGCTTAGGGAAACGACCATATCAACTAAAGAAGATCGAGTCATTACCTGAGACACTTGGCTTGGTTGACCATCTCTCTTTGCACTCGATTCCCCGCCTTTTCCTGACCCCTTAGTGTCACCCTATCAGACAGATAACAATGGCAAAGGGTAGCAAACAATCCTAATTAGCTACAATCATACGCCATATGCCCCAGAAAAGGATCCACGTACAAAACTCGACTATCAGAAAGATAACGGTAAGCTGGAAAAAAAGGAGAAATGAAAGAGGAGAACCACTAACCTCCATCTGAAAAATCCCAATGCATATAGCATAGACAATGAAATGAGGAGGAAAAACACAGAGTCAGTGAATGTATAACAGAAATTCTCTTGATGTAAACTGAATAAGCTGAAGAGGAACACACCTCTCTATATCGCATCAGGTAAACCTTGAGGGGATCGATGTAATCTTCAAAGCCTAAAGTGGCCATAGCCCAAAGCAAATCATCTCCATTGATGGTCTTCCTTTTCTCTCTCTGGCACTTATCACTAGCCCTGCTCGTCAAAATATGCACAACATCATCAAACCACATTGCATCAAACAAAGAAAAAAGCACATCCCAATATTGATTAACATAGTGAATTAGCAGAACCTTAATTTAACAACGCAATATACATCAATCTAACTTAAACAAAGAAGAGGCTTTTACACGCTTTAACCACCAAAGCAACAAGTTTGCAGAAAAAAAAAAAAAGATAACATTTTCGACAAAGTAGAGAAAGGAATTACTCGCTGGTGACGAAGCTGATGAATTCAGAGACACATTCCTGCATAGTCTCTTTAGCATCTTTAGCAATTTTGCCATTAAGAGGTAAACCTCTCTTCATGATACGGCTTATGTTAGCAATCGGAAGAAACCTATCCTGCTCACGAACATTCAATGACCTCGGGCTCTGATCTCCGCCACTCTCATGGCTTCCACCACCACCACCACCTCCGGTTTGCGATTCGGCCATCTCAGAAACCCTAAATATATATTCTCAGATAATCAGAGATCCGATTTTCTCAGACCAAACCCAGAAAGCGCGAAGAAGTGATGATTGATTGGATTACCTGAAGAGGAAGAATTCGAAAAAGAGCGGGAGACGGAGAGAGAAATGATGATTGGAGGAGGAGACGGAGAAGGAGAGAGAGATTGATCTGATCTGATCCGACGCTGGAGAAGAGAGGAGCTTTGTCTGCGATTCAACGATTAGGGCTTTTTTATTTTTTTATCGACACCGTTCATTTTTTTTTTGTTTATTGACAAAAACAAACAAACAAAAACACTCTTTTTTTTTTTCCTCAACAATATTTCTTTATTCTGCTTTTTTTAGTAATTAGGTGAAATAAAGTAGTAATATAGTATATAATAGTCAGTTCAAGATAATGAACTTTTTAATTGTTTATATGAGAAGAACTAAACATAGCTTTTAGAAACTTTTCTTCTATCATGTAACAATAGTAAAATACATTATTTTTTATATACCATTGTATTTATATATGAGGATTTAATTTCTCTAAATAGTTGTTACGAGATAAGTCAACTTGATCAGTGATATGTAGTTTCTTATGTAATCGTCTAATTTAATTAAATGCGTGTTTTACAGTTTTTCTTGTTATATTTTTTGTTTTATTCAGTTTTTATTCTGTCATTTAAGCTTTTTTTTTGTCGTCGGCATTTATTATTTATTGCAAATGATGAGAACTGTTACATAGACGATTTTGTCATTTAAGCTAATAAGTATTTTTTTGCAAAAAAATATTAGTTTTGCAATAAAGCCTAGTATTAGTATAGTTAATTAATTATTGATATCTAAAGACTAGGTTCAGAAAAATTGAAAAAATATTGGTGGCAAGGTGGACTGATTGTCAGCCAAAAAAAAAAAAAAAAAGTCAAATGTTTTCATGAAGTGGATTTGGTTGTCCATCACCAAAGACAATCTAGTAGGCCCTCTAAAGCGTTTAGTGCGCAACAAAAAAAAAAAATAGACAGATGAAAATGTCAAGAGGAAGATCCAAGACTTGAGAGGATCATGTGTCGTCATTGTGGCTTCTTACAGTTTCACATTCTATTACAAAACTTTTACTTTACACTCTTCTATACATGTAAAATCAATGCACAGGACCAAACTAAATTTGGTATTAGCAGCTCAAACTCAACAGCACCATTATAATCCAGATGGTCCTTATCAGTTTTAAACACAAGTCTTGAATGCAAAAGAACACTTCACAATACAAATTTCATCAACAAATGTGGCAACGTTTACAAAAAATATATAAACTTAGACAAATCAAATCGAAAGTTTACAAATTTACATACAACAATAATGCCATTTTTTCAATTTTATTAAATGAAGTGAAAAAGAATCAGTATTATTATTATTATTTTTTTTGAATCAATGTTAAATTATTATTACTTATGGTTTTTCTTGAGTAACACCCCAAACTTCTTCAACATTTTGCTAGTCTCAATAGAATCTGTTCTTTCCTCATCATTGTTCAGTATAGAAGCCGCTGTCTCGGCAGCTTTCCTCCATTGCTCACATTGAACCTTCACTCTTCTAAGCTCAGCTTCCATGGCTTCCGTGTTTGCGGTTTCTACTTTCTTCTCCATTGCACTCTTTAGAATCTGTAATTCCATCTCCTTATCCATTAAACTCCCTCTCACTTCCATTAAATCCGATTCAAGCTTCTTTAAATCGCCTGTGAATTCGTCTTCTTTCTTCTTATCCATTAACTCTTTGCGCAAACTTTCGATTTCACCTTTGGTTCTCTTCAATTCTTCCGTTAACTCAGCTTCTCTCTGTGAATATCTTGATTTAACCGCCTCTGTTTGTTCGTAAGCGCTTCTTATCTGCAATGTGCTCTGTATATACTCTTCTTGGTACCTTGTCTCTGCTGCTTCAACTGCAGATTTCAATTGTATTATCTCTTGCCTTGCAAGATTCATTGCTTCTTTCAGCTCTTCCACTTCCATCGATGATGATGAGTCTCTACTGTTTACTCTTTCTTCCTCGAGCTGTCTAACAAGATTCTCTAAAGACCTTACCTCAAATTTAGACTGCTCTAACTCGGACTCGGACTCAAAGAGCTTCGATTTCAGTTTCTGAACTTCGTTAATGGCAGAAGACAAAGCAGCTGAATCCATTCCATGTTGTCTCTGCATAGCCTCAAGCTCAGATTGCCATGTTTTGTCTCGCTCCTGCGAGAGTTTACGCAGCTCCTCAATTCTTGAATCTTCCGAGGCATTGATGTCCATTAACTGATGTTTGGCATCTTCAGCTTCCTCTTGAGCTTCCCTCTTTAGTGCTTCTGATCTGTTTAGTTCTTCTTTTGCCTTCTTAAGCTCTTCTTGAAGCTGAGATATCTGAGATTCCAGTTCTGGTACCCTTCCTGTCCGCTTCTTCTGAATCTTGAAAAGCAACAATCATATATACAAACTCGATCACACGATTGAGTACTTCACAACATAATCAAGAATCATCACATATACAACTTGCATACACCAAAATCAACAATCTTTAAGTGCAAAAGTACCTCATTAAGAGGAATTCTTGGTGAACGACGATCAGCTACTACTTTCGGGATTTGAGTTTTCGATATTGTCTTGGTTTTTGGATCGGATTCTGTTCCGCTTGGTTTGAGTCTCCGAGCAACTTTGGGAGCTGGTAAAGGAAATTTCTTTTGTGGCAGCTCCAACGATCCCGGCCTATCACACACAATTACAATCACATTGAAACAGATCAATAACTCCAAGAAAATTCACAACAAGAACACAAAGTTAGAGTTGAGATCATCACCTTGATTTTGGAGTCTGCATTTTTTAAGATCAAGAGTTTAAAAAAACTTTTCTTTTTGGATATAATCAATTGCGTTATGATTGCTTCTTTGAAGAATCTGACAAATAGTACAAGAAGACCAATGAAAAGTGTGAGAAAGAAGCAACAGAGGAAAAAAAAAAACTTATCACAAGCATATAGACAACAAACTCAGGGGAGAAAGAAACCTTAATCAAGTGTACAAAAAAAACCATAACAAATTAAAAATAGTTAGAATAACATTACACATTTTAGCTTCAAAGAGACTCCTATTGCCACCAAACGAAAGCAAAGAGACAGCAAATGAATATTGACATTATTTGGAACAAATATATAAACATTTTGAAGTCTATTTAGAAACAAAGTTGCCGTCAATGTGATTCATCAAATCATCAAAGATAAACCCTGTTACAAGCAAAGAAAGCACCAATATCTTTCACATAATCTTTTTGGTTGTTAAGTCACCAATTTATTTATATATTTTTTTATTAAATCAAAGTTTTGGAATTATTGGGAAGAAGAGACAATTTCTTGTCATTTTGTAATGTGAGATTTGGTTTCATTGGGTGGATCTTCCCAAAAAAGAAACACAGATCCAAAAACAGAAATCCCAGAAAGAAAAAAAAAAACGTTTTTACATATGGTCTAAAACTAGAATCTTTTAACATTCTCTGCAAAAAGTGTTTATTACATAAACAACAGAAACACTTTTGCTTTTTGCAGGAAAACAAAGATTTAAGTTTTTTGACTGAATCTTTAAGCTACCAACCAAAATAAAAGTTTTGAGTAGATGTAAACAAATTTAAACCTTTAAACCAACCAAAGATTAACACTTTCTGCAGCAAATAAGAAGAAAAAGAAACAAACAAACAAAAAAACACAAACTGGTAATTAGCTACCTAAAAAGATTGATAAACTTCTCTGAAAAAAGGAAAAAAAATCCCAATAAAATTAGGAATAAATCATGTGAAATGGAAGAGAAAATTTTGAGTCTTTGAAAAAGTCGTGAAGAAATATTCACCTAGATAACGTCGATTTAGCTTCTTTTTTTGTTGGATTAAAATGGAGAATTGCAGAATCAAGCCACGAACTTTTGATGATTTGATCTTTCCTCTTTCTCGTCGGATTGTTATTTTTTTCTCACTGGACTCACGAGTCGTTTTTTCCCACTGAAGAACATTTATATTTTCAACTTATTGAAAATATTTATCAAAAGTAACCCCTGAAGTAATGATTGTGCTGTTTCCACCTCGATTCTTACTAAAGATTGAAAATAATCTGTAATATTTTTTGTAATGATCCTTTTACGTTGGATTCCTTTTTTTGGTTATTCTGAAATATTAAATATTTTCTTTTGGATAATCAAAAAACTTGTGGGGTTGATAATGAAATGCATCAATAAATATCAGGGGCTATTTTGAAATTAATTGATAGAATGGACCGAAAGTAGAAGAACGTGGAGGGGGCGTTTTTTAAGCTACGCGCCTAGTTGACGCGCCCGAGTCACGTGCTGTTGTTTGGCCTCATATTGCTACTTATGAACAACGAACGGTCACGCAACCACAAGTCACTCACACTAGGACAGGACACAAACCTAGCTTATCTATATAACTATATACTTTATTTTTATTTTTATTTTTTATTTTTTTTGTGAAACTGACTATATACTTTATAAATGGCGAAATTCCATAACAAATATCACAAAAACACATTAAGGTTCCGTGTTTCATCTACATGACTACATACATTTGAAAGTGATATATATGTTGAACATTGAAGCAAGAACTACGATTACTTACTAGAAATGGAGTGTTGATACTAAGTAACGTTGTTAAAAATGAAACATAAGAGTCGAAATTGGAATTGGTGAGCAACTCGTCGATCTAACATGGATACGTGGTGGTGACTTTGTGAACAAGATAATTAATCTGTATATTTTTGCTAAAACATAGAATAATTCATTCATATTTATGGAAATCTTTTAAAAGTTGATGCTATTTTATTACTATTTGTTTTGTTTTGCTGCAAGTAAATTTCACTTGTTGGGAGCTGTAAATAGGATTTCATCCCCATCCCAATTTCCGGTTATGGCAGAAACCGGATATCGGATTTTTCGGTTCAATCTAATATGTGTCGGTTGAACCATATTTAAAACCTTAACCAACTGTAACAAACTCGTAATCCATATCCTTGAAACCTCGTAAATTTCACAACACCACTAAAACCATAACGGTTCTTCTTCGTTCTTATTCCTCAATTTGAATAACTGAAATTGGAGCCAGAATCCACCATTCTCATTTACTCAGACACTGTTGGAAAAATGATCAAAATCTGATGTCAAAGGTTTCTGTTTTTCATTTTTTCTTTACATTGTGTACACCACCTGCTCGATAAAATGTCTGTGATAGCTATTCTTTGACATTGGTTCTCTACCTTGTTATTCTCTATTCCAAGGCATTCAATATTCCTCTGTTGTGCTTGGTGTGTGTTGAGCTTATGAACATGAAAATGTTAAGATTGGGAGCTAGAGTTTCCGTCAGCAACAGTCAGATACCGGCAACATCAAGTGTTGTATCAACCATCAAGACCGAAGAGTTAATGAATGATCACATAAATTCCCTATGTAGAAATAGTTTCTACAGGGAAGCACTTGAAGCGTTTGATTTTGCACAGAAGAACTCAAGCTTCAAGATAAGGTTAAGAACCTATATCTCTTTAATTTGTGCTTGCTCTTCATCGAGATCTCTAGCACAAGGTAGAAAGATACATGATCACATTTTGAATTCCAACTGCAAGTATGATACTATTCTTAATAACCACATTCTTAGTATGTATGGGAAATGTGGCTCGCTGAGGGATGCTAGAGAAGTTTTTGATTTTATGCCTGAAAGGAATTTGGTCTCTTACACATCTGTCATTACTGGCTATTCACAGAACGGTCAGGAAGCCGAGGCAATCACATTGTACTTGAAAATGCTTCAGGCAGATTTAGTTCCTGACCAGTTTGCATTTGGAAGTATCATCAAAGCATGTGCTTGTGCTGGTGATGTTGTGTTAGGGAAGCAACTGCATGCTCAAGTCATTAAGTTGGAATCCAGTTCTCATCTTATTGCTCAAAATGCTCTGATTGCTATGTATGTTCGCTTCAATCAAATGTCAGATGCTAGCAAAGTGTTCTATGGTATCCCAGCGAAGGATCTTATTTCGTGGAGCTCAATCATCGCAGGGTTCTCGCAACTTGGGTTTGAGTTTGAAGCCCTGAGTCACCTAAAAGAAATGTTGTCTTTTGGTGTTTTCCATCCAAATGAATATATATTTGGTAGTTCTTTAAAAGCTTGTAGCAGTCTCCTTAGACCAGATTATGGTAGCCAAATACATGGGTTATGCATTAAGTTGGAGTTAACTGGAAACGCTATTGCAGGCTGTTCACTCTGTGACATGTATGCTAGATGCGGTTTCCTGGATTCTGCAAGGAGAGTATTTAATCAAATAGAAAGACCTGATACAGCATCATGGAATGTGATCATTGCTGGACTTGCAAATAATGGTTACGCTGATGAAGCTGTATCAGTTTTCTCTGAGATGAGGAATTCTGGTTTTATTCCTGATGCCATCTCCTTGCGTTCTTTGCTTTGTGCTCAGACAAAACCAATGGCTTTGTGTCAAGGTATGCAAATTCACTCTTTCATTATCAAGTGTGGTTTCCTGGCAGATCTTTCGGTTTGCAACTCTCTGCTTACCATGTACACATTCTGCTCGGACTTGTATTGTTGCTTTAATTTATTTGAAGACTTCAGAAACAAAGCGGATTCTGTTTCTTGGAATGCTATTTTGACAGCATGTTTGCAACACGAACAGCCAGTAGAGATGTTGAGATTGTTTAAGCTGATGCTTGTGTCTGAATGCGAGCCAGATCACATAACCATGGGTAATCTGTTACGGGGCTGTGTGGAAATCTCATCTCTAAAATTGGGAAGTCAAGTACATTGCTATAGTTGGAAAACCGGGTTGGTGCTTGAGCAATTTATAAAAAATGGACTGATTGATATGTATGCCAAATGTGGATCACTGAGGCAAGCGAGAAGGATTTTTGATTCAATGGATAACGGAGATGTAGTTTCGTGGAGCACCTTGATAGTTGGATATGCACAGTCTGGATTTGGAGAGGAAGCTCTCATATTGTTCAGGGAAATGAAAAGTTCGGGCATAGAGCCAAATCATGTAACATTTGTCGGTGTTCTTACTGCCTGTAGTCATGTTGGGCTGGTGGAAGAAGGCTTGAAGCTGTATGCAATCATGCAAACTGAACACGGGATTTCACCAACAAAAGAGCACTGCTCTTGCGTGGTCGATTTGCTGGCTCGTGCTGGCCATTTAAATGAAGCTGAGAGATTCATCGATGAAATGAAGTTGGAACCTGATGTTGTTGTGTGGAAGACTCTACTGTCTGCATGTAAAACACAAGGAAATGTTGATCTTGCCCAAAAAGCTGCTGAAAATATTCTGAAGATCGATCCTTTCAACTCTACAGCTCATGTATTGCTCTGCAGCATGCATGCTTCTTCTGGAAATTGGGAAGATGCTGCATTGTTGAGGAGCTCAATGAAAAAGCATGATGTTAAAAAAATTCCAGGACAGAGCTGGATCGATGTTGAGGACAAAATTCATATATTCTTTGCTGAAGATGTTCTTCATCCAGAGAGGGATGATATATATACAGTCCTGCACAACATCTGGTCGCAGATGCTAGATGAGTGTAATCCCCAACACAAGAAAAGATTCCAGTTTATCCATGAAACCGAAAAAACAAACATTTAAGTGACGTTTTTTCTTCTAAGAGAAGCACAGAGAATGCCATTGTGTCTCATCTGTAAGTTGCATCTTCTTCCTTCTTGCTCTTGCCATCATGTCTCATCTTGTTTGCTTGCTTAGATAAATGCTGTTGATAGATATCTTGCGCTTTTCCTTTTCTTCATCAAGTATTATTTCACTTGGTTGTAACAAAATCTTGTTCTGTTTAATGTTTTTGGTTACCTATCGAGCAATAGTGAAGGACAGTTTACTTATTGCTGCATAAATGATGACAAATTTCAAGAATCTCAATGTTTTTTTCTTTCTTGCTATTTTCAGTTTGGAAATGTGGAGAACTAACTGGTTACCACATTGGATTGCAACACTCAAGCGGGACGGGATACAGATTCAGTGCTATATGAATTACTAAGAAGGATACATCTCAACTTATCTGAAGAGTACAAATTTGAGTTAAGATGATTTGAAGAAGGCCGTGAAGGATATCTTCTGGGTATGTCTTGAATCGCTTCCCCTACACTGTAATCTTATCAAACTGGTGAAATCATGATGGCTTAGGTTGCTAAAGAGAATGATAGGGAATGAGTTGGTTCAAATTACTTGAGATTGGCTGTTCTTTTGATGTTGAAATCCTTGTGGATTTTCCAGGTATGAAAATGTAAAAGCTCCAGAAACACAAAGCATTGGCTCCTTGAGGCTCTTACAAGTGAAGATGGAGCTTCTTTCTTCTTATACGTCAAGAAATGGATTAAACACTGGACTAAGAATCTGGAAATCTCATCGCAAAACGAATCAAAACGATGAAATTGGTCTCTTATACATCTGTGATTGAGATACAACAATGAGGGTGATTGAGATCTGTTTGTAATAATCAAATCTTGACTCTCCTTGTGTCTTGATTTTGGTGTATATATACAAATGTTCATAACATATTGTCTCTATAGCTATCCCGTTTAGCAAAAGCCGGAATGGTAACAATGAAATCAAGAGACACCTAAATAAGTGAAATGATATTAAAGATGAGAAGTTGTTGCAAAGATGATGAGAGAGACTCTACAGTTGCAACCAAATGTATGTATGAAGGAAAAACTAAAAATGGTCTACCCAAGCAAAAGGGTGGTTTCTACTTGCTCTCCAAGTGAAATCATACAGGACTCAAGACATGCAGAAGTAAAAGAGGTAACCGAAGATAAACCGCTTTGAATGAGGCACAAGTGAAGATTTATTCTCCAGGGACAGGGACTCCTTGCTTGAGCTTCTCCCGCTTGAGCTTCTTTTTGGAAACGGGCTTCTTCTTCCTTGGAGGTAGGTTCTTCTGAGCATAAACGTAAAGCACGTAGTTGGCAATTAGGAACACAAGAAGCGGACCTCCAACAACAAGCAGCACGATTAATCCCGGGTTCAATCCTTTGGCTTCAGCAGCCGCCTGTGAAATGTCAGACCAATGTGTGCATAAATCATACCAAACATAGAAAACAATGATCTAGGCCCAAGTATATATATACAAAGCAAACATGTATACAACATATATGAGATTATTCAAAGCGTGCAAGGTATCAATTTGAAACAATCACACACTATCAATGAAGGGTTTTGCAATATGTAACATATCATCATCCTCCAAAATGTTGTCCTGCAATGCATGCAAAGAATTTATTTTTTTAATTCCTCTAAAAAAATGCGAATATATCACATAATTTCCTTAGATCATTAACAAAATAGCCCATATTTCACAAAAAATTAAAAATAAAAAAATCACGAATCAAACCCTTAAAAATTCGATTGCACATTCCGGAATCGCAGAAGAGGAGCTGTTATGGTAAAAAATCATCTCGATTTCATCGGAGAGACCTTTAAATTCTACAAAATTGCAAGTATTGACGGTACCTTTCCGGCAAAATCGTCACCGTCCATGATTACGATCCAATATATGCGAGATCAGCTCCCGTAAAGTGCTAATGGTAGTAGGAGGAAACGAGGATCTGTTTTCGAATGAGAGAGATTAATAAGACAAACAAACTCACACAGAGATAATATACACACGTGTTTCATCCACTACATCGCCACTTCCACTAATCAGACAAATCTTATTTTGGACCCCTTTACTTTTCAGGTATTTTGATTTCAACTCTTATCTTTTGTTATGCTCGGTTATGCCCTAGTACATCTACCTAAAGGGTTGTTTAATTTGGTTTTGGTTCAGTTTGGGCTAGACAATTAGAATTTGTATTGGTTTGTCCGGATGTTTTAAAGGGTTTTAAGTTCCAAGCAACCAATCTTGTGTTCTTATCTTACATACAAATACCTGAAAAGTTCCAAGCAACCAAGAAAAAATGAATTGAATATTACAACACAAATCAAAATCTAATCAAACACACAAAACGCATCTGTTTGTTATAACTCCAAAACATCTATACCAAATGGTCATCGTCGCTTCGAATGATAACGTTATGTTCCGGCACCGACCACGACGACGATCGGCTAGAGTTCAAAGCCACGGTATTACTACAATCAGAGAGAGTATCTTGCAAACTCAGCAACAAATGCGAAGTACTAAAACTCATGGTAGGTCTAGACTTAGGCACAACCGGTACATCAGCCTCACCAATCAGCATTTGCACCACTGACCTCATTGTGGGCCTAGCTGCTGGATCCGGATGCGAACAAGCCAGGCCCACAACCAAGACCCGCCACATCTCACCTTCATCAAACTTACCTTCAAGCCTAGAATCAGCAGCTGCAGAAACTTTCCCTTCTCTATACAAACCCCACACCCATTCTACTAAATTCGGATTTGCCCCAACATTTTGTCTTTGAACATTTAAGTCCTTCTCAATCGGTCTTCTTCCACTAACCACTTCCAAAACCACCGCTCCGTAACTAAACACATCCGTCTTCTCCGAAGCACGACCCGTCAGAAGATACTCCGGCGCTAAATACCCCATCGTCCCGGCAGCAACAGTCGCTTCCGGCGACTTATCGTGCTCGATCTGTCTCGCCAATCCGAAATCTCCAAGCTTGGCGTTAAAATTCTCGTCTAACATTATATTACTGCTTTTAACGTCTCTGTGAATCACCTGATTCTCACACTCTCTATGTAAATAAGCTAAAGCAGATGCAACTCCAAGCAAAATCTTTTTCCGGTGATCCCACGGTAACGTGAATCGTGACTCGAACAAAGCTTTATCGAGTGACCCATTTGGCATTAGATCGTAGACTAACAAAATCTCACCTTTCTCGTGACACCATCCTTGTAATCGAACGAGGTTTCTGTGTCTTAAGCTTCCGATTATTGATAGTTCCGATAAAAACTCGTTCTTTTTGTCTTGTGAGCTGTGACTGCATCGTTTGACGGCGACGATGTCTCCGGTCTCCGGTAATATTCCTCTGTAAACGACTCCGAAGGCGCCGTGTCCGATGATTCGACTCTCGTTGAAGTTCTTAGTACCGGCTTTGAGTTCTTTGTAGCTGAACTCTTTAGGAGCTTTGATAATTTCAGATGCGAAAGAATCAGATCTCTCGACGCGTTTGAACTTTTTGGAGTAAACCCAGAATAAAGCTCCGGCGAAAAGTGCTAAGAAGAAAGCTCCGGCGGTTACTACTCCGGCGATTGTTCCCGGGTTCTCTTTGCAGAAGCGGCTGTGGCAAGACGACGACGAAGTTTTCGATTGAGTATTGCTTGATATCGGAATCGCTGAAGAAGACGGCTGTGACGCTAAAGGCGGCGGAGATTTCACCGAATTAGCTTTGGGATTCATCAAATTAGCCCTCGGAGGAGGTGACACGGATCCGGATCCTGGACCCGACCCGAATGAAGAACTGAAGCTCCACCATTCGATACTGTGAATCTCTGTACTTCCCTGAGTTGACCCGGAGAATCCGACGAACATGAAATCGTTCACGTATTGATCTAAATCGAGAGGGAAAGACAAAATCGGAGCTTTAGGTTTTAGATTTGAGTAAGAGACTGAAACGTTGAAGACCCGAGTCAATCCGTCGTACTCGATCCATGAATTGATGGTATTGCCGCTCTTGAGATCGATGTTTACGGTGCCAAGATCGCCGGAAACAGAGGAAAGGACGCCGTTTACGTCGAATCCAACATGGTTACTATTAATGTCTTTGAAATCAACGTCCATTAAAGTATCAAACTCGACGGCGACGAATTTTGAACCGGACCCGTTAGGACCGGCGAGACCAAGCGAGCCACCGGCGACGCCGATTGAGTTTGCGTCGGGAGCGATGACGAAAGCGAGACCACCGCCGATGGAAGAAGGATTGACATTGGTAATGGAGAAGGAGAAGAAAGTAGAGAAGCTTGTCGGAAAGTGAGTTCCGGGTTGTCGGAATCTGATTGGGTTAGAGTATAAGACTTTTCCGGCACCGGAGTTAGGCACAGAGAGGTCACGTGTGAGGCCAACGATTCCATTACTTAAACGAGCATCACCGATGAGTTTGAGGTTGCTTATGGCTAACGTGGAGAAATCAAACTGTGTCGTCGTAGCTCCATTGAAGAAACAGAGCAAGATGAAAATGAAGAGGAAGAGCGACATTAATGATCAGTTGAAGAAATGTTTTCAGAGAATGGTCATTGGAGAGGAAGAAGAAAGATTCTTAATTTGAGAGATTGAGAAAGAGAGATTGATGAAAGTCACGGGATGTGTATTGGGGCAATACTTTGCTTGGAGTAAAGTAAAGCAGAGGAAGAGACAAAGGAATAATATTGGGGAAGATGATGGAGAGAGCAAAAGAGAATCCAAAGCGACAACGAATGAAGTCAGACAAGTGGATAGAGATGTAACGCCACGTGGCTTTTTCCAACGGCTATATGTCTTTTTGTCTGAAAGTTTTTTTCTATGTTAATTTGATGTCAATCAAAGTGACTTTTGTTGTTTTGATGTCAAAGTGACTTTTGTTGTTCTGATTTTCTCACGTTTAACAAATAACTACAAGTAACGGTCGTAGTAGCACTAATATCATCTTTTCTTTATTCTTGTCGTGGTCGTTGGTTGAGGCTAAAGGAGATGCCCCAAAAAAGTATCTAAAACCTTTTTGATAATTGACGGATTCTGTGTTTTTTTTCACGAACAACCAATCATCCATATGATATACGGGTTTGAACATGAATCGTAATACAATAACGGTATTAACACAAACCATATCACCGGAGTCTCTAAATTAGGGGTGTGAATAAAAACTGATATGATGAACCAAACAAAACTGAATTTCTTCTCACTGAACTACACCAAATTTTATTTTAACTAAAGGGTAATAATCTTTTTTTGTCGTGCACAAATCCATATTTGGATTTAAGGCCAGCTTTCACAAATAACAATTGACCATCCGAAGCTGAAAGGCCGTAATTTCAGTAATCATCAATTGTTAGAAATGGGCTTGAAAGTGGGCCTGAATTGGTCTATGACGTCAGCACACGTGATCTATGCGTATTTAATACTCCGGATAACCAACCCGACCCATCAGATCACCACCCGTTAAATCTTTCTTACGTGAATCTTCACCGTTGATTGCGATGACTTTTCAATAGCTTCCGAGTCAAAGTTTTGATAATATGTTGTAAGAAACAACAAGTAGTTGCATCATAATAACCCCTTTGATTCGGTAGCCATTAGAGACCTCAGAAGAAGAGAAGTTTTTGATTCTTCGACGAGACTTTACTGATTTTGCATCGAACAAGAGAGGAAGAAGAAAAAGCGGAAAAAAAATTCTGGGTTTCGATTTTGGGTGAGAGATAACAAACCCTAGGTGTGTCGTGTGAATCGTGATCATATGCTTTTTTGAGTCGACGATTAGCAAAGCAAACACTATGATGAACACTTCTAATGGAATGATATCAGCGCCATCTTCATCGTCTTCACCGGCGGCGAATCCTCAGTCGCCGGGAATTAAGACTTATTTCAAGACGCCTGAAGGGAAGTATAAGCTTCACTACGAGAAAACGCATTCCTCTGGTCTCCTTCACTATGCACATGGCAAAAAGGTTACTCAGGTAAATATAAGATTTTTATTTTTGGGGTTTTGGTTTTGATACTTTGATTCGATTGAAATGCATATGGGTTTAGGATTTCTAATTATTCAAATCGGAAATTTCAGATATTTCAGAGAATTAGTATATCGATCGTGAAACTTTTGTTAGTGAAATTTGCATTCTGATGCATTAGGTCGTTAGCTGATCAATCGGTTTGAATTACATTGCTTTCCAATGATGGAATTGGGAAATTTTCGTTTTAGGTAACTCTAGCTCAGCTGAAGGAAAGAGCTGCTCCTTCTACTCCAACTGGTACTTCGTCGGGTTACAGTGCTAGTAGCGGGTTTCGCTCAGCAACAGCCAGGTTGCTAGGCACTGGAAATGGTAGCCGTGCGCTTAGTTTTGTTGGAGGTAATGGTGGGGGCAAAAGTGTGAGTACAAGTTCAAGAATTAGTGGCTCCTTTGCTCCTTCTAATTCTAGCACATCGATGACAAATACGAATTTTGATGGGAAAGGAACTTACTTGGTCTTCAATGTGAGTGATGCTATTTTTATCTGTGACTTGAACTCACAAGACAAGGTAATTTCTTCTTTTCTTTGTTTCCCTTATAAAGATGTAATGTTCTGTTTTTTTTTTTGGAGGTAATGGTTTAGGTAACTTATTTGATGTAGGATCCAGTAAAGTCTATTCATTTCAGTAATTCAAACCCTATGTGTCATGCTTTTGATCCGGATGCTAAGGATGGGCATGACTTACTTATTGGGCTGAATTCTGGGGATGGTAATGTAGAAATTTGAGCTTACCATTTTCACCTCTGATCTAGATATCTTGTCTCATGGATTTATTTTGTTATGATGTGTTACTGTAGTGTACACTGTATCACTGAGACAGCAATTACAGGACGTCTCTAAGAAGCTAGTTGGTGCACTGCATTATAACAAGGACGGTTCTGTAAATAACAGGCAAGAGTTTATCTTTTGCCGCTTATTTAATGTTTCCTCCCACCTTTTTACTTTGCTATTATTTGTTAGTGATACTTGAAGAATTGATTCCACTGGTTCACGATACTTCACATTTACTTTGTCTAAGGATCTCTATGTGTTCTTCGGTTGTACTTCTGCTAGTATTTATGTCAGTGTAACAAAGTTATATAATTCACCTTCTGTCAATGTAATGGATTGGGTTCTAGGAAACTCTCAGTGACAGTAGATTAGTTAAATTATAACAGAACAGTGTGTATCTTTAGATGAGTTCGTTTTTAAGTAGGTTAAGTTGAAATATTAATCAATTTTGGCGTCATGCCTTCTCTAAGTTTAAAATAAAGTTTGTTGCTTTGTAACAGTCGTTGTACTAGTATTTCTTGGGTGCCTGGAGGTGATGGAGCATTTGTCGTTGCTCATGCCGATGGCAATTTGTACGTGTATGAGAAGGCAAGCTCAGATATCAGAACTTTTTTTCTTGCATATGACTTTTAAGTTGCCTGATTCTGTCTAATCCCTGATCCTGATTAATTTAACTTAATAGAACAAAGATGGTGCCACTGAGTCAACATTTCCTGCTATAAGAGATCCTACACAATTTTCAGTTGACAAGGCAAAATATAGCAAGGTATGTGAGTTTGCAACCATTTCAATAGATCCTTATATAGGGCTGGAAGCACATGGTACATGCATATCCTCTACTAGTATCATCATTTGCTAGTGATTTTAAGAAATTGTTGTATTACTTACTTTCTTTTCTATCTTTGAGCATATTTTGATGTACTATTGTTCACTCATGTGAGTATTCATGCAGAGTAATCCTGTTGCGAGATGGCATATATGTCAAGGTTCAATTAACAGCATTGCATTCTCAAATGATGGGGCACACTTGGCGACTGTTGGAAGAGATGGTAAGATGCCTCTATTTTGTCTTGTGGTCTTTTTCTTTCTCTATGTATTTATTTACTAAGCATTAAGATTTCTTACCATCCACAGGCTATCTTCGCATTTTTGACTTCTTAACCCAGAAGCTAGTATGTGGTGGAAAAAGTTATTATGGTGCTCTGCTGTGCTGTTCTTGGAGGTGATGGGATATAATTCCTTTGGCAACTTTTCTTATATTGAATTTACAAAATGTGTCTTAAATAGATACCAGTGTTGTGAGCATATTATCCCTGTATGATACTGTTTATTGACATTGTGATTGTATTGACACTGACAGTATGGATGGAAAGTACATTTTGACTGGAGGTGAAGATGACCTAGTTCAAGTGTGGAGTATGGATGATCGGAAGGTTGTGGCGTGGGGTGAGGGACATAATTCGTGGGTAAGGTTCTTGATTTCAATAAGATTTCTTTTGTTTAACTTACACAGCACTTTACTCATGTCGGAATGGTTGCTCTCAGGTAAGCGGAGTAGCGTTTGATTCCTATTGGTCGTCACCAAATTCAGATGGGTCAGGAGAGCATGTCATGTACCGTTTTGGATCGGTTGGACAGGTATTTTTTCATGCGTTTACCCATTTTGCTGGTTCTCCTTTCATTTAGCAAAGAACTGAAATGTGCTTAAATAAGTGGGAGTTGTGATTAGCTTATCTACATTGCTTGATTGACTTTATCATTAAACCAGTGCTCTCATTTTCTTATCATTTCGATATTGGGGAAAAGGAAAAGGAAAAATACAAGATCTTATTAGGCGATGTTCTTAAGATGATCAGAAACTAAGGGGAAATTTTATGATTAATCACAGTAATGTAGCTTCATTGGATCTGATCCAGCTTCGTTCATTAGCATATCAAATTATAGATAAAGATTCTTTGGTCTGCTAGGTAGAAAATTTGTTAGAAAGTGAAGTGTTTCGTTGTATGAAGCGGCCTTAGGAAGCTGATGAGATCATTTCCACAAACATGTTATCTGAAAGTCTCGTATTTCTTACTTAATTTGCTATTAATAACCATTAACTCCTACGATCTCAATCTCTTGATTCTCCTATATATGATCTGCAAGTGTCTTGCCTCACACACTGCTGCTTCCTCTGCTGAATCCACAGGACACACAGTTACTTCTCTGGGACCTTGAGATGGACGAGATCGTAGTTCCACTTAGGCGAGCTCCAGGTGGGTCTCCAACTTACAGCACAGGAAGCTCAGCTCACTGGGACAATGTCATACCAATGGGAACTCTTCAACCCGCTCCTTGCAAACGAGATGTTCCAAAGCTCTCACCGATCATAGCTCACCGAGTTCACACTGAGCCCCTCTCTGGATTGATGTTCACACAAGAAGCAGTCGTTACGGCTTGCCGAGAAGGCCATATAAAGATTTGGACACGGCCCAGCGAATCAGAAACCCAATCCAACAGCTCAGAAGCAAATCCTACAAGTGCCCTCTTGAGCACAAGCTTCACAAAAGACAACAAAGCCTCACTGAGCAGCAAGATCATCGGTGGTTCTACTTTCAAGCAATGACGGAGAGATGCTCCTTGTCCGAAAATCAGGTGCTATTATTTAGTCATGTTTCTCCTTCTAAAGTGAAAGAAAACCTTTAAAGAAAAGCCCTGTGAATAAAATTCGACTGGGTTTTGTTTTTTTCATATATATTTTAAAAGAAGGTCCAAAATCTGAATTCTGACTGTAAATTGGAGGCTGACAAATTAAGTTTGTGGGGGGCATAGAAGAGAAAATATGGGAGAATTTTCGGATGTAATTATAAGAAAGAAAACAAAATGTGTTACATAAGAGTCTCATCAACCAATAATGCAACTTTTGTGCTTCAGAAGAATGACATTATTTATTTTCCCAATAAACGATTCCCTTGTCTATTTATTTATTTGGTTTCTCAAACTTATGATTCTTTTCATCAAGGAAATGTATATGACAACACCAAAAGAAACAAAGATTTTAGTAGAAAATTTGTTAGAAAGTGAAGTGTTTCGTTGTATGAAGCAAAGCCTTAAAAAGCTGATGAAATCATTTCCACAAACAAAGAATAGGGCTACATATTTACAAGTTTATAACCAACGAGTAAAACAAAAACTATTAAGATATGGAAAGCACAATGTTTCCTAAAATTTTTTTTAAGGCAATAACGTTTCACATTTTAAAATCATGAAAACTTAAAGATAACTAGAATTTATCCAAAAAAAAAAAAAAGGACAAGAATTTGTCTTCTTGACACCAACCAAACTTTGGATCACTATTTATCCAAAACAAAAACAAAAAAACTTTGGATCACTATTTATCCAAAACAAAAACAAAAAAACTTTGGATCACTGCAAAATGCTTAAAGACCACGGCCACGGCCGTCCACGTCCATGACCTCTTCCAACTTGGATACGGCCCAGTCCAACAGATGCTCAGAAGCAAATTCTACAAGTGCCCTTTGAGCACAAGCTTTCCCTAAAGCAACTAAACGATGCCTTCTCATTTTTTTGGTTTCTCGGAAATAAAAAGTGGTTCTGCATTTTTGTTTTATGAGAGAAATTCGAAAATTAAATGTCCTTTGTTATTTTTGTTAATTGTTAGTTTTTTAAAGACCTTACCAATTTATATTTCCTTTTAACTACTCTCTATGATTACTATATTTTCTTCTTAGTTTAGCTAAAAACTAGTTAATTTTTGTTGACATGTTCACTTTATACTTTTTCTAGCTTAACACGAGATTAATTCAGCAATTTCGACTCAATTCTATAAATGATATTTGAGTCCACCCGAATATGCTGAAAGAAGAACCGTGACACGACCGACAAGAGATCAATCGAGGGAAGACTTCACCAACCGATTTTTGGGCATATTCATTGTTTTGTCCACTCCTCTCTTGATCATACTTTTTTTAAGACGTGACAACATAAATGATTCTATTACTTTTTTACTTATTTGATAGATTACCATAAAACATCATGCATCTAATATTTTGTCGGAGTCTAACGTGTCAGTACTATAGAACTATAGATAGATGCGTAAGAAAAACCTTCTTTCTCCACATACGTGTAGTTACAATGGGTCATGCAAAAAAAAAGGAGAAAAGATTCTAAAAGTTCACTCAAGAATCTTTAGTTTCTTAATAGTAGTGGAATATGTATTGAGTTTGTTTCTCTCCAATAACTGTATCTGTGTGCCTAAAAAAAAACCTAATTTCTCTCTAAATTCCCTCCTAAAAAAAGCCGCCGCTTCTTCTCTTAGATCTGAGACCGGTAGCCGGTGGCTTCTCCAGCATCGGTACCGGTCTTCTCCTTGCTTTGTTTTTGCTTTCCGGCATCTGTAGCTTCCGGTAATGATGTTGGTTTAGACGAAATCCGGGTTCGAGTTTGGTTTATGTTGGGGTGGTGTGGTCAGAGATCCGGCCTTCTTTTGACGGCATGTGTCTCCTCCACCTTTCGTTCTCCTCTCTTGAAGTTGGCGATTTTACTCGGCTGAACCTCTTCTTTTTATCTCCGGCGTTGTAGCGGTTTGTGTTTGTTGTAGTTTCAATCGCTGGGTCTAATTGCTTCTTTTACAGAGATTCCTTTTAAAATCTGGTCTTTTGTGGTTTAGTGCTCTCCATCCTAATGTTTTCTTCTTTTCTGGAAGTTGTCTTCGTCTTGCTCCGGTTTCGATCTTTCACCGGTTTCTTTCGTGTTCGGTGTAGTCTGGTTCGTGTTTGGTTCGCTCTTTGTCTCTACTCTATAGGTTCTGTTCAAAGGCTTCTTTCGAGGCGTTAACTTGTCGGGGTATTTCTTTCGACTTCGCCGCTTCCGGGAGAATTATTTTGATCTTGATGGCTTTGGCTTGGATCTTGTTTTGCTGGTGTGGTCGCCTAGAAACTCCTTCATTCTGAGGTAGTCTCAATCCACTATAGGAGGAACCGCTTATCGTTGTCTCGCTTTGCTGCTTCAGTTTGCTTTGTGTAAGGCTTTCCAGTCATGGTTTTGATTTAGTAGGTATGGAGTTTGTGCTAGATTCCAGATTTAATTTGTTGAATCTCTTGTTTTTAGTTATCATTTATTCCAGTTTGTTTTCCTGTAATTTAGGGTTTAGTTTCTGGGGGTTAAAGTTCCGCTGGCTTAGTTTCTGGGGGTTTAAGTCTTGCCGGCTTTTGTATTCCAACAACGTATTTCACCCTTGTCATATAATCATTTTTGACGAAAAAAAAAAAAAAAAAAAAAACAGCATTTGATGCCTAGGTACCACTCGAGATTCAAGACAGCTGGAACAAAAACAATAATTGTTAAAATATTATTTCCAATATTTTATTTATATAGGAAAATAGAATCGCATGGCGTCGATTTCATGGAGTGTCGGTGGATTGGATTCATTCTCCGAACCCTAAACTATACTCTTAAATGAGCATGTACATTCCAATAAATCGCTTGATATTATTATTAGGAAATAAATGTGAATATACAATTTACTGGTTATTAAATCGATTATATGCATGTTGAAAATCTCTACTTTTTAACTTTTATTTTTCACCTTTGATTTATAGACAAAATTGTAAGACATCAATTAATTCAAAAAAAAAAAGTTAATATATCAGATTAAACTAAGGATTAGTCTAACAATGTTCAGATTTCTACATGGCTACATGACTACATCATTTCTTCTTTCTTAGGATTAGTCTTAATCTCTTTATTTTGTCTTAAAATGATTATTAGGAAAATAATTCGATTACAAAATTACTGGTCCATTGGGATTTGAAAAAAAAACTCTTTACCGTATCTTATCATATCAAACTTTCGATCACTCAACGAAGGCTTCGGTACTAACCACGTGGCATGATGACGTCATCACTTCTCTTTCTCTCTTCCTCGTCCCTTCGCAGTTGTCACTTTATTACTTCACTTGAAGCTCTCAAGATCACAGATCTCTCGTTCCCTTCTGCTTCCAACTCTCTCCCCAGATTCCACCTTTACCTTACGAAACCCTAACCCCCAAATCAGCTTAAAGTTTCAATCTTTATTAAGAAGAGAGTTCGTCGTCTTAGTATGTAGCTAGATCTCAAGAAACTACGAATGGTTCCATCAATTGGGTAAACAAACAAAAAATGGATCTTTTGATGACACAGAGACGTGAATCGAGAAGGGTCTGGTTAGGATTACAAAATTCAATAGTTCTCCTCGTGGGTGGAAACCATACCTCCTCCAGGTTTTGCACTCGCTAAATCTCTCTTCTCTTCTTCTCCCTTAAAATCTTCTCTTGAAAATCATTCAAAATCAAATTCTTCGGATCTTGTTTTTAACTACTCGGATCTTTATGGGCGTTGAGATGTTGAAACTGAAATTGATGCCTAGCTCATTCCGTCGGCGCGTGATCTTACGCTCCCTCGTGATCGTTTGCGCTTTCTCTGTTGTATCTGTTTTGCGAAACCTCGGCGGAGCTTACCAAGGAGAGAATAGTAATAACACTCAGCCATGTAAGGTTGATGAATGCGCCGTGAATTTCGCGTTTCTGGGTCCGTTCCTCTTCTCAGGCAACGGATTATTATCCAACAGGTTCTTGAAACCTGTTTTGAACTACTTGGAGTCGGAGAAATGTAAGGAAAACATTTATTTGACTACTGAAGTTGTCAGAGAGCTTACAGGTATGAATCTGCTGAGTAATGATTCGAATGCTCTCTGTATTGGTCGGAGATCGGTTTCAGCTGTTCTTGCAATGAATCGACAAGGGATCTCTGATGTTAGTGTGGCTTATATGCCACCGGTTTTCGCTTTCAAGCATAGGAAGTTCACAAGTGAGCTACATTATGAGGATGCTTCTTTTGGCTTTGTGTTTTCTATGGATCTTGAGACAGTTACTGTCCCTGCTTCACTTGTTTATGAGATTGAGCGTATACTGAAGCCTGGTGGAACCGGGGCTATGCTTGTGGGTACTATTAGTGGGTCTGACTCTAACGAGTTGGTCAGATCGGTTTCGCCTGTTTCTTCATTGCTGAAGAACTCGAGTGTTGTTCATGTTGCTTCCTTGGGTGAACAGGTTTTGGTTGTGTTCAAGAGAGATGGAGAAGATAGTTTCCGCTTGGATCAAACTCATCATGACCTTCCTGCTGATTGCTCGTCTGTTCTCAAAAACCGGCCATACATTGGATTATTGGAGCCTCTTCTGGAGGAAAAACGTTCGGATTTTGAGAGACGGATTCATTACTTGCCCGAGTTCATTGATCACTCTTCTAGGAAGAGGCTGGTTTATATTGATATCGGGGCAGCGGATCATGTGAAAGCGAGCTCGAACTGGTTCTTCCCATCGTACCCAATCGACAGGAAAGCTTTTAATAGCTACTTTGTGCATCACAACACATCTATCTTGACTTCTTATGTCAAAAGCCCTGGCGTAACCTTCATCTATCATCCAGGACTCGCAGCAACTAAAACTACAACAGCCAGTCTTGGAGATCAAGAAGAACCTTTTGTGGAAGATGATAGCTTTGATTTTCTAGCATGGTTTAAGGAAACAGCGAGCTTCGCTGATTTTGTGGTTCTGAAGATGAACACAAGCAATACTGAGCTGAAGTTTCTCTCAGAGCTGATAAAGACAGGAGCGATCTGCTCAGTTGATGAACTGTTTCTTCACTGCACAGGCTACAGAGACTGCACTGGTATCTTTAAAAGCCTCAGAAACAGTGGCGTCTTTGTCCATCAGTGGTGGGAAGACTAATAATAAGCTCAACAAATGGAGCTTTCAAAACTAAAACTATGTTCTTTGGTAAGTTTGTTATGTTATGTTTTTCTGTTGCTACAATCTTTGCTCATGTATAGAGCAAAGCCGCAGAAGTTTGCTCCAGCGACCCAGCACTTCTGTGGTTCTAAA